GGATCACTTGGGTTGTTACCGACATCTGGTGAAAATTTCACGTCATTAGCACCTCTAGTAATATATTTACTGAGAAAAATGTTGACGTGTTCAATACTTATTTTACCCGTTGTACCTATTAAGTCTAATCTGGTCATAAAACCATTTCAGATAATTGGAATATAAAAATGTTGAAGACAAATAAATGCAATATCGGCCTGCCATACAGTGAGCCTGTTGCACTGACCCACTGCTGCTCTGCACTCTCAGAGCACAAGCCGACATTAGCAAGATGGATTTATGACTGAATGAACGTCCACATTTTTTTATCATCTCTGTGAGTAACAATACATAAAAAACAAGTTTTTTCTCTGACAACTTGGGTGTGAAAAAACTACGGTTGTTAAAGCTTCGCTCTGTGCGATGTGCAGCGAGAGGGAGATATTATCATCCCACGAGACGACGACAAGATGTAACTTTTCTACAGGGGAGGGGGAAATTTTGAGGATTTATTCTTTCTATACGTGTTTTAAAATGRTATATTTCTTCATTTATTTTCAGAATATTTTGAATAAATGACCCTGTAAAAAAGGACACACCCACTTGGGCAGTCGGGTAATAGGGTTTGTCGAACCCTGGGGATATGGTCCAGCCCCTCTCACCATGACTGGTTTCAGAACACAAGCTTTTGTGCCCAAATTCATCCAGTTGTTACCTCTCAACCTTACACACAAGCTCAGACTTCTACGCCACCAGAGAGGTGATGTTCTGTGTTCCAAGAGCCAGCTGTAGTAGTCTAGGGTCAGAAAGCCAAAAGCCCCAACCTTCAGCTGCCACTCAGCGTGTTTCCACTCCCACAGGTGGTGGGCACACGGGACAACAAACCAATGTTGTTCATCCAAGCTAAACCTGATTGGGCCCCAAAAGCAGAGGCCTGATTATCAGGTGCTCAACAACAAGCCCCTTTCTCAGGCCTGGCTCCTGGGTGGGGTCCTGGTAACCCACATTCTGGCAAGTGGCACTGAGTTTATTATTTTCTTCTCTCCATAGTCCAAGTGTGTGAATGGCTTTTTGTCTGGCTCGGCTCCTGCGACCAATCTGCTTTGGGAGCCCCTACCGAGGGGCAATTGTCCTGACAGCATAACTCCTAGGATCATTCATGAACACAAATGATGTGCGTAGTTTTCTTCCACCTATACAAAAGTATGGTGATGATAAAATCCTGTTCTTCATTGGGTAGTAGTGGGGTAAAGGATAAGAAGGGAAGGGTGGGAGGTCCACTTGTGTCCCAAAATAAATGTTGGAGTCTGGTCTTAATTGGATTTGAGACAAAGTAGAGCCTGGCTGAAAGGCCCTGATTACAAGGATTTCAGAGTGACTGTATGAAGAGCTGATCCTGCTACTTTAAGCTGAATGCCTGATGAAGTTATGTCCTTTTTCACATTAGTTGAAATGCTGCTGTTTTTTGTTTAATACCACAACATACAGCAGGTAAAATAAGTATTGAACACGTAACCATTTTCTCAGTAAATATATTAATAGAGGTGCTAATGACATGAAATTTTCACCAGATGTTGGTAACAACCCAAGTGATCCATACATACAAAGAAA